TTTCAAATGATGATTTAACCCTCTATGTGTTGAACGAGTTAGGATTGGATTTCAGGGAGATAGTTGCGACGATCCAAGCACGAGAGAAGTCCCTGGTGTTTGAAGAGCTGCGCGATCTCTTGGTCACTCATGAATCTTATCTTTGACATTTGGAGATAGCTACTTAGCAAATGGTGATGACGGCTAATTACACGACTTAGGGCAAGTCTTCTTCTAGAGATGACTTCTCAAAGAAGTCTTATACACCAAATGGGCATCAACGTAATCAAGGCCAAAGCCCAGCCCGTTAATCCAATAGTACCAACGTGATGGACGACGTGCTAATAATGGGTCTGGCAAGCCCAACAACACTTAGAAACATTACACGCCCCGCTGTCAATTGTGTGAGAAAATAGGCCATACTGCAAAGTATTGTCCCCAACTGTAGTCCAATAAATTTACAGCCAACTGTGTGACTTCTTCTAATGGAAAAGACAAAACAGGGCTCATGGACTCAGTGGCCTCTCACAATATAACGGGTGATCTTGCAAATTTGTCCATTCACTCTGAATATGATGGTACTGATAAAGTAATTCTTGGTGATAGTTCAGGTTTGACTATCTCCCACATTGGTTCTTTGGAAATACACTCATCCAAATGCACCTTTATCTTAAGTGATACTCTTTGCGTTCCAAAGCTTTCCAAAAATTTAATTTCCGTTCATCATCTCACCAAACAAAATAATGTTTTTGTTGAATTTCACCCGTTTCATTTCTTTGTGAAGGACAAGATCACGGGGGCGATTCTACTTCAAGGAGCATGTGAAAACGATGTTTACACCTTTCCGGAATCAATGATGTCTTCCCCCTCCAAAATGGTTGCTAATGCGCATGAACGAACTTCAATTGATGGGTGGCACAAGCGTCTTAGGCCTCCATCTTTTCGAATAGTCCAACATCTTGTTAAAAAAATTTCGCTTCCTGTTGCCAAAACAAATAAAATTTCTCAATTGTGTAGTTCATGTTCCATCAATAAAGCACATCAACAACCTTTTCATTCCAATAGTCTTCAAAGTCATGCACCGCTTGAACTTAGTTACACTGATGTTTGGGGACCTGCACATTATACTAGAATCGATGGATCTCGTTATTATCTTATATTAGTTGACCATTTCACAAAATACACGTGGTTCTATCCAATGGCTACCAAATCCGGTGTATCTACTATTTTTCCTCACTTTAAAAAATTTGTCGAAACACGCTTCCAAACCAAAATAAAAAATTTGTACTTTGATAATGGTGGCGAATTCATTGCTTTAAAATTTTTTTTATTGATCAATGTTATTGCTCATTATACCACCGCCCCACACACCCCACAACAAAATGGTGTTTTCGAGCATCATCACCGTCATTTAGTTGAAACGGGTCTCACTCTTCTCCATGATGAATCGTTACCTCTTTCCTATTGGCCTCATGCTTTTCAAATAGCATCCTATCTAATCAATAGGCAACCCATTCCTCTCCTTCAAAATATTTCCCCTTTTGAAGCTCTTTTTGGTCAAAAACCATATTATCTCAAATTAGGGGTGTGGAAATCCGGTTAACCAAACTGGATGGGGTGTTTTTTGAACCGAACCGGTTTTTCGGTTCAAGCAATATGCCAAACCCTAAACCAGACTGAATTATCCCATAAACTGATTTATAACCGAACCGAATTATCGGTTCAGAAACCGATTAATCGATTATTAACCGATTATTCAAACTTACCCAAAAAATCAACTACAACCGGTAGAAACTGGTTTCACTAGGAAAAAAAAAAAAAAAAAAACCACACCCAAAAACAAATTATAATCATCTACTTCTTCAAGTCACCGGTACTAAAAATATAAATTGATCATTAAAGTATTAAAAAATAATATACAACACTCCAAAATTCCGCACTCCACACACCCCAAAATCAAAACTTTCAACAAAACCAAAACGAATAAAAAATTCAAAACCAACAAAATACACAAAAATTAAAAGAATCGCATCTGTGAACTCGAAGACGCTTTTACCTCTGATTTCTGGTCGTGTGCCGTCGTGGTTTCATGCTAATTGAAGACTGAAAATGGAGACCAGTTCGTTATCACTGTAAAGTGCAAGTCGGCGAAGGTAAAGGCACGGTAAAGTGAAAGGAAAATTAACTAATTAAGAGATTAATTTAAAAAATAAAAGTGAGGAAAACAAACCCTAGAAATTTGAAAAGGAAGTAAGGAGAGAATCAGAGAGATGTGCAGGGAATCTCCGAACTGGAGAGAAGAGGGAATGGAGTTTGTTGCAACACTTTGACATTGAATAAAAGTAAATGTTTGGAATCAGAGAGAGGAGAAAATTTTGGGGAAGGAGGAAGGAATTAGAGAGAGGGAAAATCTCAGGGAAAGAGGGAACAAAAAGGGAGAAAATAGAAATTATAAGATTCAGGATTTGGGATTTTTAGGGATTTGGATTTTATATATATTATATATATAAGTTTAGGGATTTGGGTTTATATGTGTATATAAATATATAAGTTTAGGGATTTGGGCTTTTAGAGATTTGGGTTTATATATATATATATATAAACCGGTTTGCAAAACTGGTTAACCGTTAAAATTAATCTTTAAACCATTAACTGAACCAGTTTTTTGGTTTATTTAATTTTGCAAACCGAACCGGTTACTTCGGATAACCGGTTTTTCAGACCGGTTTCGGTTCAGTTTGGTTCGGTTTTCGGTTTTTTTTTTTTCAGCCCTATCTCAAATTGAGAAAATTTGGATGTCTTTGTTACCCACTTACCCGGCCCTATAACATCCATAAAATGCAACCCAAATCCTCACCTTGTGTGTTCCTCGGATATTCTCAAGTGCAAAGTGCCTATAAATGTCTTAACCTCAAAACTCAAAAGATTTACATTTCTAGGCATGTTCTATTCGATGAACCAAACACTCCCACTGTGTCTTCTACAAACCCGAAAACCCACACACCAACACCCCCAAATGCTCTTCTGTTCTTCGATGCCCAGGTCACGCCTATGCCCTCGTCGATGCCATCTGCTCTGCTACCCTCATCCACGATTCCGGAAGGTGTAGCTGTCGTCGACGCAGCCTCCTCAGGTAATCTGCTCAACTCTTCTTGTTCTGTTCAGAATTCATTTGAAAATCTAGGTCATAATTCCTTGAACTTGAATTCATCATCTCCTAGTTCTAGTCTGAATCCTTGTGTGAATGATTCAAACTCATTAGCTCCTCACCCCTCATTTGTTACACAACCACTAAGACAAGCTAAAAATTTCCAAAATCCGACTGCTCAAAACCCATCTCCACTACCTGTTCAACGACTTGACCAAATGACCTCTCGATCTATGAACAAAATCTTTAAACCCAAACAACTAAATTCCATGTCTAAACATCCACTCCTTGAGTCCATTGAACCAACCTATCTGAGTCAAGCTTTGTCTCAACCACAGTGGCGTGATGCTATGTCAAATGAGCTTACAGCTCTCATGAAACATGGCACTTGGGATTTAGTGCCACTTCAGCTTAATTGTAATCCAGTGGGTTGCAAGTGGGTGTTCCGAGTAAAGAGGAAATCTGATGGGTCAATGGATCGATTCAAAGCCTATTTAGTTGCAAAGGTGTTAGAGTCATGAAAGTGACTCTATTTTGGTGATAAAAATACCCCATGTGTGATTAAATTGAAGTATATGGAGACAATTAAAGAATTTATGAATTTATTCACGAAAATCGCTTCCTAATATTTTTCTTATGAATTTAACGTGTTTGGAATGATTTTGGAAAGTATATGAGTTGATATTAGGTTGTGGTTTATGGACTAATGGTGATTTTGTCTCATTTATGTTGTTTAGGGGGTAAAATGTCATGTTTTAAGGAGCTTATTTTGTCACTTTTCAATTGTATAGGGACCAAACTGATATTTTACAATTTGTTCAATAAAAGAAAAACGAAGTTCGCATGAAAAAGGGGGCACTGTTCATCATCTTTTCCGGCGACCCTTCGTCTTCCATTTTCGGCGACCTCCGGCGACTCTTCGGCTTCCTCGTGCATAGATCGTCGTCATCCCATCGTCCCGGACCACCACCGCGAATCACGGAACGCAGCCGCGGTGTTTCGTCTTCCATCACTGTGATTGTTCATCTTCCAGGCTAGTTTTGGCCCTTTTTTGGTGACGTTTCAGCTCCCCAAGAGTCGATCTTCCTTCCCCACGGCCGGATCTACACTTCTATAGCTTCAACCGCCGTGAAAACCGCTGGAATCCACCAAATTGCCGTCGCGCCTCTTCATCTTCCAGGCTAGATCTTGCTCATTTCCGGCGACTTCTCACCTCCCCATGACCTGATCCGAACTCCCCATCACCAGAGCTTTTCATCGGTACCTTTGGATCCCATTTCCGCCACTGTTTTCCGGAAGACCTGCCAAAAAATTAACATTTTCTAGCGAGTGCGGCTGTTCGTATTCCGGGTTGTCCGTGGGTCGTTTTCGCCCCTTCTTCGCATCATATCGCTGTCGGTTACCTCCTCTTCACCATGGTCAGCTTTGTTTCCACCGTTTCGGCCTCCGTCATCACCACCATGAGCGGCTAAGTTTTCGGTTGTCTGTTACGGCATAGGCGAGATCGAGATTGACTCCATGACTCTCCTCATCAGCTCTCAACTAGTTGGATGAGCCTGATTATAGGACATTTGGTACTATTGTGCTTTGGATTATATTTGTTTTCGTTTCATGTTTGATTTCGATACTTTAATATGATTTGAGCATAACTTGTGATGAATATTGTTGTCCATTATGATTTAATGTTTTCATAGAACTTGCTGAATGATAAACGTTGGTTTGAAATAATTAAATGATGAATATTGCTTTTCATTACTTCNAGAGAGAGAGAGAGAGAGAGAAAATATAACTACAATTGCAATCAAGATTACCTGTCGGAGTCACATGTAACTTTCTTAAGCGAAAAAGCATTAATAAGTATTAGTGAATCGCTCAAAAAAATTTTATTCTCAGAAATGGCATGGACGTTGTAAAGAGATAGTTTCTGTGAATTCTTACCATCACTCCTTCCAGTTTCTTGGTCCAAGGCCCCTGGTAAGTCTTTGTAAGAAACTGTTGCTCAATATATAATTGAGCAGTAACGTTCCAAGTAGGACTAGTTGTACGCTCGTCATCCTCAGCAATGTCAAAACTACTCTGCATCAATAAAGGGAAAACATAATTACAGGTTTTTCTCATTAGCAATTTTATTTCACAAATCCATAACAATAGTAGTGATTAGAAAGTAACAAAAATGAATAGAGAAATAAAAGTTTCTTGAGTCAGCATTTGTTTTTCCATTCCACTCAATTCACAAACAATTTCAAACTGAAAACTTCTGAAAAATACATTCCACTACCCTGGAAGACAGTTAATGATATTGATGAAGTCATTAGCAACTGAAGATGAGAGGGAAATAATTAATCATTGCTTCAGTGCTTGCAATGGTTTGATAGGAAATGAAGCAAGTGAACTCTCCAAATCAAGAAACTTGTTGAAGCCATCCTGAAATAAACAAAAGGAAAATGGGGAAATCTGAAGAAACTTAAGGACAAAAATAAATAATGATAATAATAAAAAAATAAATCTAAAGAATACTTTAGCTCATACCTGCAGACTTGGATCAACACTAGAATGGTTAGCCCTTTCTGGGGATAGCCTTCCTGCTGGAATCCCAACACAATCACAGCTGTTCGTCGCCTCCCACTCCCATTTGGATCATGTTCATTCATTGTATATCATCATCCAGAATATGCAGGCAACACAGTGCTTTAGACCAATGAAATAGTAAGGAAATAAATCAAACTGATAACATTAATTTGGTTATAAAAATTTATCAAGGAAAATAAAATAAAGTAGGCGCCCATGTATTAAACTAGAATTGAAAAATAACATAAAAGCCATATTCCCCACCTTTGATAGCTGCTATTTATCCACATACAGAGCCTTATTCTCTACAAATAGATCTGCCTACTTTTGTTATAAATAAAATGAAATTGGTGATCGATTCTTTGTTGGAGTACAAAGAAATAATTTTGTTTTATTAAATAATTTCAATTCATGTCTTAATTATATGAATTTAATTAAGAAATCTTCCATGTAACATCATGTTGAAAAAAATGCACCCCTTTCAAACATTTTATCAAACAACTCTGCAACATCACTTAACTTGATCAATCAAAAACATCTACATGTCTTACATACAAAAATATCAAACATCAAACTGAAGCTTCAGTTAAAAAATAAATTATCAAAGTCACAACTAAACAAAGCTTCAGTTCTAAAACACAAATATCAAATCACGATTATAGAAAGCATTCATTCTTAAAATATAGTTTAAAGTCGAGCAGAATAAATTTGCTTACCAGCTGCTGTGACAGAGAGTGTTAGAATCAGTGCCACCGGTGACGGTGGCTCTGTGGCTTGTGCCGTCGTTAGCAAGAAACACCAGTGCCGCTTGACCTGGCTTCTAGTACAAATAGAATTTCCGCAGGTGTCTGTAGCAGTGGGAGTTGAACGAGATGAAATGCGGTAGCTTTTAGCGTGATAAAGATACAGGGTTGGTTTTATTTAATTTAACACAAATTTATTAAGGAGAATTGGAATTAACTATAATAAATTTATATTAATTTTAATTAATATATATTTATACTATTATCAATAACAATTCAATGGTGTTCAAACTGTATATAAATTTATTTTGTTGTATACAAACCTAGTCAGTGTAATTATACGCCAAATATAGAAGAATATTATAAACTATACAACCATATCTAAGCTATTCCATTTTAACAGTAGTAAACACATGTATTCTGAAATTAATAGCAAAGGTGGTAAAGAAGATAAGAAGATTTTGTAGTAAATACCTTATCTGCAAACATTTGAATGGTGGAATTGAGATCCCCCGTATCTGTAAACACTTGCAGCGTATCTGTAAACAGTTGGTGAATTTCTCCATTCATTTCTTTTGTTAGTTGCACCCTATTTAACTTTGGTGTGCTTAAACATCCTTGAGTAAATATCTTCAATTGTGGGCATTCACTCGCAATTACTAGTTCCAAGCATGGGAATTTGAAGGCATAATTTGCTGAGCAGAAGCATGTGAGGCTTGCTAAACAATGAAGCTCCAAAGTTTTCAACCGGCAAAAAATGACCTCTTCTTCTGTCTTGTCAATTTCATCTGCTATTACCTCTCTCAGTAATCCGCATTCTCTAATACTCACTTTTGTGAGTTGATCAAGACTTTTGACAGTTGAGCATGTAAATATGTTCAACAATCTATTGCAATTATGTACATCCAAAGTTGTGATATTCGTGAAGGAAACTGAGGATAAATGTGTTAACTGATGACAACTCAGTAATTCCAGGTCTCTAAGATATGGAAGAAATGGATCCACTTGAGAATCTTCTTTCATTGTGTCTTTTTCATATAGGAATAGCTCTTTGAAGCTACTATCAATTAGAGTCAGTGTTTCCAGTCTGAATAGCCTTTTAAGGAAAGCGTAGAAAAATGGAATTGATTCATCATCTAACTCAGACAGCACAAGATTTTTTAATCCCCAAGATGGAATATGGCTGTGGCATATTGGTCGAACACTATCCACATTTAAACCCAATAATTCCAAATTGGGTATGACCTGTAATTCAAAATAAATGAACAAGCAAGAAGGTGTTAAATTTAATGACCATATAGTAAACACATATAATAAGATTTTTTACATATGGTATGTGTCATGTTGTTGAGCAACAAGAGGCAGTTCCATTAATTAATTTTTTAGGAAACCACGAGCAAGCAAAACTAAGTGACCAAATTTATGAAAAAAAAAAAAAAATACTCATTGTATTATATTGATAAAAAACGGAAATGTAATAGGGAGAAGGAAGAAACAAATTTGAAAAAGAGACTTGCAATCAGTACAAAATCAGTGAACTTTTTATTAATCAATTAACTTCTTCAATTAATTAAATTAATTATATGTTTTAAATAAATATGTAGCTTACCACCTGAAAATATACTTTAAACAATAAAAAATACATAAATTATCAAAAACGAACTTCTTAATTTGCAAAAATCAATCATATCTGACCAATTAGTTTACTACCATTTGGTTTGAAAAGGAAAAGAAACTTCACTCGATGACTGTATTTTACATATATCACCTCCATTGTAAGATGTCTATTAAAGGAATATGGAAATAATTAGCAGCAATGCCATAGAATTTGTTTTGTGAACATGTCATATTAATCTAAATGATTATAAAGTGTACTGATACAGTCCTTTTCAGACAAACCAATGGAAACGCCTGAACCAAATAATTTACTCTTTTTGCAATTAAACACCACCAAAAGCTTTAGCATCGGACACTCTATTGTATGCCACCCCGGGTAAAAATGTTTCAGTTCAGGTAAACTACTAAGGCGGAGGAAGGTTAATTGAGGAAACAAAAATCGACGGGTCCCATCTAGTTCCTCCTTGGCAACAATTTCTTCCAACCCACAAGAGAACATCGTAAGGTTTTTAAGTTGCGAAAGACCAGTAGCTATGGAAACTGGAAACAAACTTTTCATATTCCGACACTCCTCAACGGTTAATGTTTCTAGATTATGAAAGGTAAGAAGCCCTTGAGTAGAATTAGATGAAACAATGGTCATCAATTTTTCACAAAATTCGACTCTCACTATTTTTAATTTGCAAAAGGAATCTCCATGGAGTTGGTTGTACCATATCAACTCTAAGTTATCCAAGCGTAAGAGTATCATCTCCTCCAAACTTGGAAAAGCAACCTACAAAAAACATCTCATCATGTAAATTTCTTTTGGGCTATCTATAAGACCAAAAATTAGAAGACAAGAGAAGGATTTTTTATTTCTTTAAAATACAAAAATTAAAGAAGATATCTATAAGTAAATTTCTACTAATTAACTACAGATAATGGTGACATTAATAGGTACAAAAAAGGTTAAAATTTTGAGGCCAACAAGCAAGGAAGATTTTCAATAAAAAGAATTAACTTTATCTTGTCGTCAAAAAGGGGATTTACATCAATAATATAATCCTCCAGGCTCATGTCTTCAGGTTCTTTTCTTAACACGTCTACACCAGAAAAATTGGAGAAGAATGTCTTCAAATTAGAGCAACTCTCAATGTGAAGTTTAATCAAGGTGGGAAATTCAACTGAATTTCCAGTGCCAAATCTTGTGAGTTTTGGAAGACCCACAAGCTTTAGGTAAAACAATTTAGGAAAACTCATATCAATTATCTTATCTTGTACTTCTAATCCTTCTGAGTCCAATATCACTACTTCCATTGACTTACAGTTGCATATCACAAGCCTCTGGAGTTGCATAAAACTTTTGACCATAGAGGATGAAAACAAAAATTTAAGATCATTACAGTCCTCCACAATTAAACTTTTTAAGCATTTAAAAGAGGGAGACATTGATTGAGTTTGATCAACCCATATGTCCTCAATTTTAATTGACGACAGTTTCAAGTTCTCCAATCTTGGTAATACAATCTGCAAAAGCAAATCTCGCTCCATAAATAACTTAGAAAGTAATTACAAAACATCTTTCATATATGAAAAGAAAATAAAAGAAGAAAAAGAGAAAAAATACCTTCATGCCAAAACTTATGAATTGTGGTAGGCATTGTAGTACTAGGGAAAGCAATTGAGCGAACTCAAACTTACTATTCCTTTCATTTTCAACCATTAAGTCTACACTGCCTTCACCAAAAATCTCCTTTAGATTCTTACAATCAATGACTTCAATTTCTTGAAGTTGCGAAAACTTTTTATGCTTTGAGAACGAGAAGAGATGCTCCAACATATCACATTTTTCAACTTTCAAAATTCTTAGTTTGCTGAAAGACTCTGCATAGAGTTCGCCATCACATATCTTCTCTAATTTACTCAAATTGTGAAGAAACAATGACTCTAACTTTGGGAAGACAGTTTTTCTAGGAACAACGTTAACAACACATAAGAGCTCATGACCATTTTGTACTTGAAGATGCTTTAATTGTGCAAAACCATCCTCATCAAGCTCTGACCTTCTCACACCAATTGACTGGAATCGCACCCAACCACCACAATCTTCTCACTTTCTCACCCAAGATCCAAGTTTGAATTTGGTTGGATGTGATTCCGGTCGAATCGCACTAGGCCAAGTGCGATTCTGGCTGAAAAGTATCCGGCCAAATTCTAAGCATTCTTCAACCTTGTCTTGATCTTTCACTCCATTTGAAATCGATTCAAGCAATTGGGATAATTTTGGTTTAAAATTCAACACCTGGATTTTTACCAGCGTGATCTAAAAACGCAATCATTATGATAGAAGTGACAAGAAAATGAACGGCAGGAATATTGAGTGACAAAGCTGTTGCATGAGCCCATGGCTGGAGAAAATCATAAATGACCAAATCGGGGTTGAGTTTTTTCAAGATTTGGTGGAAATCAAGAGCAGCCATGTCAAGAGCTTTCTTGAGAGTGGGCATGAGTTGGAGTGGTAGGCCTTTTGGTGGGGTGATAGTGAGGATGAAGGTTAGGTGATGAAGGAAGATGATTGGCGGAGGTGGAGGATTTAGGGGCAATGGGATGGGGTGTGGAAGAAAGTAAATGGGATTGAATTATTATTATTATTATTTAGCTGATGTGAAATGACATAATTACCTTTAACAGTTTTTTAAAATTATTATTATATCCTTCTTCAGTTAAACTTAATGGACGGATTTTAACATAG